CTGCAGTCTGCGTTGGTGTGGCAAATGAAACAATCTTCTAACGAGTTTGGTCGGTCTACGTTGTGCAACTTCAAGTGCATCAAAGTCGCGCTTGCGCCAGGGACGCCAGGCCTGGATCGCATATTCCGCATGAGGCCTCACGTAAGTGTTCAGTATTTGTGGAAAGATTAATGGCTCAAAATTCTCGAAAGCCCTCCGTAAGAGTCTAGGAGGTTGACTGGCTCTTTTTCCTGCCTTCCAGCCTGTCTCGAGCAACCAAGATCGTACTGCACGATCATCGCGATGTCGTTTTTTTGGGAAGAACGTTGCAAATGCTGGTCCCCAAGCAGATATGCATGAAATAGGTGATGACGGATGCTTACGACCTTGCACTTGGTCATGTTGAACTGGAGCCCATTGTCGGATGACCACGTATAAGCCCTGTCGAGATCGCACTGCAATGCCATGTGATCATCTGATGTCATGATATTATGCCAACTTTTGATATCATCTGCTAATAGTAACTAATTCGATTGCAGTACACTGGCATGATCGTTAATGAATGTTAGAAATAAACGTGGCCCCAGTACCGATCCTTTGTGCACGCCCCACTGGACGTCAATTGTATCGGAAATGGAGCTGCGGACTCCCACATTCAGATGACGTTGAGGGAGGAACTTGCCGATCCAACAGAGTATAGAGTCACCGATGCCATAGCTTCGAAGCTTGGGAAGGAGAATGCGGTGGTCCAAACGATCGAACGCTTTCGAGAAGTCCAGGTCATCATCATCGTTATCATACACGTTAGCTAGAGGTGGGAAACACCTCAGCTACTGTGCCGCAAAGTCCAGGTAGACAACGTCGGATCCCACTCTGGTATCTGTTGACTCTGTCCAGCTTGCTCGGGCTAGCAGCAAGTTTGTAGTGTAGGATCGATTTCGGCGGAATCCGTGTTGATATGACACTAGGATGTCGTTGCTCTCAAGATATCCCATGAGTGCCTCTGCAATAATACCTTCCATTACTTTGGATAAAACTGGGAGGAGCGTAATTGGACGGTAGGCCCTCACTTCGAAGCTGGCCTCAGTTGGAGGGTCTCGGCTCCCTGGTTTGGGTCGGAAAGACGATGAACATGTTTGGCTGGATACACTTGTTGATATGGCTAGGAGCCGACCTCAGTGGCGTTGGTGCTGTGAGTTGCTTTGTTCCACCCCATCCCACTTAGCCTCCTCCTCCAACAACGATCTCATTATTTAACGTTTTATAACTTTGCACAGGAAATTGCTTTTCTTTGCTGCATAGTAGCCGGCAGATAGCTTACCGGAACGATGCCCATCCGTTACCGGTAGTTCAGCTGTCTTGCACCTGTAGTATTTTATTCGCTTCTTTTCTTTTAGGTATTGCTGCACAGTAGCTGAGGTGTTTCCCACCTCCAGCTAGTGTCTAGTGTGTGTGTGTGTGTGTGTGTGTGATTGGACGGTAGTTCGAGGGCTTCGAACGTTTATCACCTTTGTAAATAGGAGTGACTAGTCCATGTTTCCACATTGCGGAAAACTACATTTCGTGGAGACAACCTTGAAAGTACCGAGCCAGTGGGTCGGCAAGGTTTATGGCCGCTGTCTTCAATGCCTTTGGTTTGATGTAGTCCACGCCAGATGAGCTGTGCACGCGCAATGACATTAGCGTTTTCATCACATTGGCTGCCGTGAATGATACGCGCTTTAACCCAGGTGGAGACGGAAGCTGTGTCAAAGGCGGAAAAAATGATGATTCACTCCAGAAACTATGGATGAAGTGTTGGTGAAACACGCTGGCTGCATCTTGTGCAGATTACGCAAAACCATCTGTTGCACGTAAAACGGGATCCCTCGTTGTACTCTGGGGGGCTTGTTGACGTGTTTATACAGCAACTTGCGAGTTATACTGAATTTGGCCATTAAGTTCTGTTGGTGCCGGAGTTTGTCTTCGCGGATCAACTTGACGCAGCGGTTTCGTTGAGTTGTGTAAGCACCCCAGGTCAGGTTCCTTGGACAGACTTTGTAAGCACACCAGGCTAAATCCCTTAAGTACATGCATTTTCTTGTACAGCTCCTCAGGAAGGAATTCACTTGTTTCGGGTGAAGGACCTTGCATTCTGACGCATTTGGCACTAGCTCAGTGAATTGAGTGCCGAACAACATCCAGGCGACATCGGGCGGCTTCTCGGCCAGGAAGGACCAGTCAGTTTCTTGAACGAGGTTGGACAGGATATCGTAATATGTAACGACATAGGTTTCCACGTTGTTCTCACTGACATACTCCGAGAAACAGATGTAACAGGTGATCGCGTGATCGCTACGGCCAAGTGATGCATCTATGGTCACGGTGTCGACCATTAGTACCTCGTTGGAGAGCAGGAGGTCCAAAACAGAGGGTGTGACACCCGTTCGGAATCGCGTGGGAGAGGTGATATGGTTGTACAGACGTACACCGGCAATCACTTCTTGTAAATCAGCCTTGAATTGTTCGCCGTGCGATGCTGGAACTTTGATTGCGTGCAGGTTGAAGTCACCTACCAGAAGAATGTGACTGTGTGGTCGTGGCAGGACTCGTTTCATCGCGGAAGCTAGGCATTGATCCATTTCCAAAGTGGACATTGGAGGGCGTCAAACTATTGCTAGTAAACACCCATTACTACGTCTTAGGTGCATACGACACCAAAGAGAATCGTCGAATTTCGTTGCTGGGTCTTCAATGATGTCAACTTGCAGGTCGGATCGATAATAAAGGAGCACACCCCCTCCGCTGCTAGGTCGCTCGTTTCGTATGTAAGTTATGCCCGGTAGTGAAATTTCAGCATCCGTGATCTCCGTGTTCAGCCATGTTTCGGTGATCAAAACTAGGTCCCAAGACGTGGCGACCTGACGAATACGAAGTTCGGTTAGCTTGCTGAGAAGACCTTGTGCATTGGTATACAAGCAACTGAGGACATCGGTGATCAGAAGCGTGTTTGTGTATGCTGGTTTCCGGTGAGGGTCTAGGCGGACCCTAGCGGGGTCGGCTGCCGGTCGCTTTTTTGTAGGACCGATGACGCAGGCCCTAGGGCCAGTTCAGGTTGTTGTATAGAGCTGTCAGCGCCAACAAGAGGGTAACCATCCTGTCCTCCTTCAGCTGCCGTTATGTTTTGGCAATGTGTCCGTTCTGAGCTACACGATGACAGAATTGTATTGGTGTTTGCTCAGTCTTACATTATCTATCTGTGTCCCGGTGCTTATCGCCGTTATACTATTTCGATGGCAACATTTAACGCTTTTTGTGCCACATTTTAATCACATGTTCTGCCATCAGTTCGGAGTGCAATGATACTTTCAGCAATCGGGAACCACCCCCTTTGTAGTTAGGTGATAGCGGTAACATTGATGTCGAATTAGCGATAACATTTTGAGTGAGAGCACTTCACGAATAAAACGCCATTCATCCCAGTCATGCGCTTTGACCTCTAGCTCACTTAATGTCTGGAGCTCGGGGACACCGAGAACAAGGATAGATTTTGTGTCTTGTTGTTTACGGAAGTCATCCGGATTTTGTTTGCCTTTCTGGCGTTCGCTCCAAAGAACATATGGAAATATTCGAACAGTACATGTGGTGGTATGGAGGCGAGTGGCTGACAAGATAACTGCCTCTGTATCATTACCTGACTGTAGTGTTACCTGGAGTAACTGCGGTTTACCGTAGAGTATGGAGTTTGGGTGACGGACGAGATACATCATATTGACTCGTTTAGCTTGAAACCCTATTAGTTGACACAGGTAGTCCCACTGCTTTTGTCGTCTAATATCTAGTCTTTTATGGAGTTCGCCCTGGATTCAGTCACATTAGAGTATATAACAGTCAGAGAATTCTGGTAGTGTTTAATGTCCTCCTTTTTGGAGGGACCAGGGGCTGCTTTCTTCCGTTGGAAAAATGATGGTGTCTTGAGCCCCGTGGTGATATTGGTGGTAGTAACTCGTTTGGCAGCGGGCGGGGTTCAGATGGGAGGTGCATCCGTCATATGGGTAGCAACAGCGGATGCGTAGGTCGTCGGCCCTCTAACAGTGTTTGGTGTGGCGGGTGACGCTGTTGAAGAATGTGTGGCGAACGCATCTTTATGAAGAGACGCTAGTGTCGCAGTGGCTAAATCTGGATCGTTACTCTTACACTGTGCTGAATTGGAGCTTGATGTTGAACATCGAGTTCGAGGTACTGATTGGTCTGGTTCATGTGGGACAGCTTTCACGGCTGCTGCTTGCTCTACAATCTTTGTCATCCTATGGTACTTCGACACCAACACAGTTATACATCTGACGAGTGAAAGAGACGTACACTCAGTGCAGAACCAGAGAGAATGGGTAGTACCATTAAGTTTTTTGTCTGGCTGAGACTAAGGCAAGCCCATAGAGAATGAAAGTATTTTCGACATTTTCAACATTTTATTCCAAATCACAAAGGTTTTACACAGCTCTCTACGTCACAAGTAACGTTCATTTTTGAAGCTTTGGGCTTAGCTTTCCGTGTGCAAGCAGTACATGCCATTGTGACTGTCAGATCTGCGGAAGCCGTTCGTTGCAACGTCTACACTGTTATGCTGAATCCAAACGCTGTCGGTTAAGCTGGTGGTCTGGCAGACACCTGTTTGATTGCTGTAGAACAAATCCAAGATGGCGGACACAAACGGCAGTCGGGCTAATCAGTGAGATCTTCGACAGTAGCCGGAGAATATCTACCAAATTCGCAAAGATTTAACAATAAACCAAAAGCAAAGTATTGGTACACAATTCATACAGAAAACACGTATAACACCGTATTCCCAAACAAAAGTTAGAATCTAACACGGTAAAGCAAAAATCCGCGGCGTTTCAGCTGCAGCTACTTCCGTGATTTGAACGTCTGCATCTGTTTTACTACAAGGTCCGCTTTGAGGCAAATATGCAAAGTTATTAATTTCTCCGGTTTATTTTATATCATGTTATTCCTCTTTGCCTTTACCCCGATTTAATCGCTAGCTCAATGACAAATTACAAAGGTATGCTAAGCGGTACTTCTTCGTGCACCTGGTGGAGATCGGGAGAACATACGAAGGACGCCAACTGAGCTTGTTACGGGTAAGCCTATTTGCGATAATCTTTTGCGATAATTAACTTACGAGAATCAGGTTACAATTATGAGCTGCGACGCGAGGGGTTAATGAAGTATCTATCTGCTCCTTCGCGTCAACCATTGCTTCGCACTTGTTGTTGTTAGAACTGGTATGGCTTCGTATCAGCGGCTTCTTCCGTTTGGTGGGTATGAAGCACTATGGGTTGATTAAATTGGATTAGGTATAGGACAGGCCTTTTTGGCTCCCTCAAACAAAATACACTCAGTGCACGCTAGACATGACTGCTTCCCTTAGTAAGGTGAGAATGCTTCAACTGTGGTGGTTATGAGTGCTTCACTTGGGCTAATGTTGGTGGGACCCAAAGACACATAAGTCATTAAGGGAATTCCATACGTATGTTAATAGATCTGCAACCTAAGGCAGCTAAAGTCTCGTGCTCTTGGGTTCGGATGAGAAAAAGTAACGGTTTCAAAATTAGTTGCTCAGATTTCTCATTCGTGTTGTGTAAATGTTATTAACTCACTCTCTAATTCTAACTAAACAAGATAGAATGCAATACTAGTAAAACGGTCATTGTTTTTTCCTAATGTATGGACCGGAACGGATAGCAAAGCTCTGCTTTAGTTAGTGGTTATTCTTCTGGTATGAGGACCATTAGACTCATATGTTCCACTCCATAGAGTCGTTCAGTATGACTGACATAATGCATGGTTGAACAAGTTATGATTCGGTGCATTTTTTCGACTAAGTGTGGGCGCATTCCTGAGTTAAAACGGTATGCGCTACTGCACATTAAGATAGCCTTCCATATCAAGTATGTAGGAATGGTTTGAATAAACATTTACCAGGTCCCGAAATGTGTCTCATTAACTCTAACGACCTCATTGCAGCTGCACACTTATATTGTTTAGTTATTTGCTGATGAACTCTGACAGTAACTTTACCTTACACTTTGCGCCACTTACTACTTAGTTCACCGATTTTTCTTCCGCACGAATCAAGGTTTCCAAAAATCCGTGGAAGCCAATCATCTGGATCAACGCTGGCATGCACGCCCGTGAATGGATATCGACGGCTGCAACACTTTATGTTTTAAGACAGGTACCACATGACATGCTTACATCACACGTCTAGCTATCAAGCCGTAGTTCTTGGACAGCGAATTGCAGTCTATCCATAGAATGTTACATTACTCGCTTTAGAGGGAGTTCGTACGATTGCACTTAACTGAGCTGGTTGTAGTGTTCAATTTTAGACTGTTTAAGCATCATCCTCTTTCTAAGCTCTAAATTGGGAACTGAAGTAGTCATCAATGTTAAAGAGAATCTACATAGCTACTTTTACTTGTTTTGCGCATATCCTTTAGTTAGAGGTGAGGTTATACCAAATTGCTTAGTGACGTAGTTTGTTAGTAGCAGTGTTGACACCAAGTGCATAGATGAACCATATATTTTCCAATTTAGACATTTAGGTTACTGTCGGGATCATACTGCGGCGCCCAGCGTGGCCGTTTAATTCATCCCAGCAATTAAATGTTATCAATTGGTGCATACGAATGTGACAGCTAAACAGCATTTCGGTGCTCAAATACTTACTTCCACCTTGTTAACGCTTGTACAACGAATGAATCACTACAAGGCTAACAATGCTGCGGCAGTGTTCCGGCCCCGTACCAGTCTACCGAGAAGCTTACACTATTGTTACACTTGATGTGCTTTACGTTATTAATTGTAGATGCTTAGCAATGCACTAGTCAGCAATCTCGCCAAAACGATAATTGTATTTTAATAAATTATTGCTATCCACTGGGCGGAAATAACACTTATCTTATTCGACAGCTGCTCACACGACAAGGACAAAGGTTGCTGGAAAACTACCAATTCATTTTCGTTCCCATGGCGAATCCAGATGGATATGCCCACTCTATTGAGCAGGTAATGATTCCTTTTAATGACTGCACATTTTTCTGATTTAAAGCGATCGGAGAGGCAGACTAGTTAATGTAGTTTCCAGTCGGAGTGAGATTACGTAAGCATTCGTCCGCAATTGCGATCACCGTAACGAACTGAGCCCTTGGTTGAGATGCGTATGTCCACATATGGAAAATGAGAGCGAATAGTTCTGCATCGTCTACGGTCGGACGGATGACGTAATGAGCCCATGTTTAAATTTGTCAGCAAAACATAACTTCTGATGATCTCCAGCTTACTGCTGCAGCCAGTGGACGGAGACATGCGATAGTACCCTAATACTCTCACAGCGTTAAGACATTCACTTCTTGCATACTCGCAAACTACTTGACCACCACCTAGAGAACGTTCCGATGAACGTGCTGTTTCCACGGAGGCAGCCCGTTTTGCTTAAGTTTGTTCTAGAAGGAGCTACGGAGATTTGTATGCAATGAAGCGATTGAAAATTCGGTAAGTTGTGCTTCCAGGTTGTAATAACTAAGTGGATCTGCAACCATGTCAAAGTCACTTTCACCACCTAACCGATCTTGATATTTGAGTTTTACAGCGTCCTACCAATACGAATGGTACCGTGACAATCCGTAATTCTTAATAGTAAATTATTTGGGAGCATGAGCTTCTTATATGGCCCCTGTAATGCTCGACACCTGTTAGGATCCGATTAGTCGCCTAGCGCAAGCTGTACTTAGCCGACGTATCCAACTTTGACACCTAGTGTGTATGCGGCCAAAGTTTATCATGGCAGTCCCAGCAAGCCGTTATTCACCTACTATCGGTCACCCGCTTTGCGGTGTTCGTGCCGGACAGCTTCCAAAACAAAAAACCTAGTTAGGCGTGCATTACCACCTTACTACCTAGTCGATTCACTTAATTCAGATTTAGCGACATACTTCGAGTAGGGTGCTGTCGCACGTCCATTGCCTTTTCTGTCCCCTAGCTTGCATATACCTCGGAAACGCACTTAACTATTCTTTCCGGCCCAAAGTATACCGATTTATGCTAGAGGGCGCAATTTGCAAAGTATACAGATAAGTTTGACTGGCGGATATGAGTGATCGTGAGCATAGGCCCCACTTTAACTCGACTGTCAATCACAACCTGCATTTTTGCAGCATTCCAGTCATCTTAATCTATGGCCAATTCCCATTTGGGCGTAGCTCTACAAGTCACTTGAAGTAAAGTTAAATATAACGGTCATTCGCTCATGACCTAGTTGAGTGTGGTCCAATGAAATCACGCCGTAAACTACTCTTACCGTTACTTCGCCACACGGACAACGAATGCATCCTGTAAGGTCTGGGTTCAGTATGTTTGTCGACGAAGTAGATTATTTTGGCGCAGCTTTGTAGCTTGAAGTATATCCTGTGTAAATGTGAAAACTTGTTACAATCACTCGTTGCATTGTCCGACGTAACCAGCAACTCTTCCAGTTTAACTTGCTGTACTTCATCGTGTGGTGACGACAGAATAAACGATAGTCCACCTTACTTGCCCAAGACTGTATCATTGAAGCGCTTATCTGGGGCAAAATAATTTGTCAGTGAGAAGTACTCATTTCAGCATTCGCAGAGATGTGCAGCAAATTGGTCAATTCACAGAATACTAGTTAGATATGTCATGGTAGCCTTACTGGGGGGGGATTCAGTTATTTCATAACTTTGACCTGTAGGTGCTGATTTGTATTAGTTGTTCTCAACAGAAACGCACGTGGAGAAAAAACCTATCACGCCTACCGAACGAACGATGTCGTGGAGTGGACCTGAACCGCAATTTCAACTTCCACTGGGGAGGTAAGACTTTCTGCCCGTGGTCCAATTGGAGGTCTTTAGGCCAAACAATCTCAACCTGTATTTCACTGTAGCTTGCCACAGATACTACCAACCGTAGAGCCCATTGCGTTTTGTCACGCGATTTGAGTATTACAACTATAATGAGAAGCATTGTGATGTACACATTACATCTCATGTACTCAATACAGAAACTAGATATTAAGACAAATGAAGCAAGTTGACAAAACTTCTCACTAATTTGAAAACTTGCGCTGAACTGCATGTTAAGAAAGTCTTCCCGGTCTTTCAAAACACGGCCCCCTATGGCCCTGCAAAAGGTTCGCATCCCGAGGTTTCTGGAAATTCACTAACGCCACCAGGGGCCCATATGACTCCTGTGGATAATGGCTGCTTTAGACAATATTGTAAGAATTTTTAACTAGCTGTCTGTTGGGTGATTTCACCATGATTATAAGCATGTTTATCTAGTGCTTACCTTTGGCGGTAGTGCGAGAGCTACTTGTAAATTTCCTCACGCTTGAGAAGCAACTATCCAACGCGGTCACAGTGCTATTGAAAGATGTGCAGAGTAGTTATTGCTTTCTCGATAGCATGCTGTGTGCTTCATATGGTATCCCGGGGCACTTACCCGATCATGTCGAAACGGAAGTGTCACGCATTGTCGGAAGTAAAAGTTTATGCAGTTTCTTACTCATAAAGAAAAAAGAAGTTGTTTCCTGAGGTGGCGGTGGCTAAAGGATTTGGCACACTTATTTCGGACTATACCATAAATGTTTGCAATGTACACATGAGCCAAGTTAGTTGCTCGTTCATGCCGCCATTTGCGTCGAAGTAGTGACCGAATTATTTTATCCAGCCACTCACTACAAATGAGTTTCGGAGTCAGATTTGCCTATACCCACCTCATTGATCACAGAGTTAATTATGTGGTGTCGTAGATTATTGACTACCTTCGCATACCAACAAACCTTTCTCGAATGCATGTGACGACTTGTTTTTCCTTATCAGCTAGTGCTATTAGTTATTGGTTAATAAGCTAAACACGACTTTTAATATTCTAGAGGGCGAAAATGTCGCGAGAGACCCTTGCAAACCCGAATACATTGGACAACACGCAAACTCGGAACTGGAAACCAAGGCGCTGCAGGAGCAATTAGATGCGTATAAAGATGGTATCACAATCTTTATCGATGTGCACTCCTATGGAAACCATATTCTGATTCCTTTCGGTTATTCACAAGAAGTGTTCCCTTACAACTACAGAAATATGGTGAGTTTTCCTCATGAATCTCTCTAGGACGTAGTAAATACCCACCTTTGGGACAAACAAAGCATGGTAGGGTAGACACTTCTGTTGCTTATAGTAGCCTATTCGACAACAGCTACTAACCCTCTGGTAACTCAGGGAAATTATACACAGCACCACAAACAGGTCAGGAACAGTCATTTTGATAAAGGCTATGCGATATTGCAATTCCTAGGATGTTTATAACAACAAGGTACCCATGTTTCTAATATGAATTATTTCAGTCGTGATGCGTATTAACAGGACGGAAAATTGCTAATAAGCTATTAAAACACGAAAACTGATATAGTTCTTGCAACGGCATATATACATATTGCCGTTTCAGGTGTCAACACCGTTAGGTGCACGTTTTGGTGTTTGTCTTTATGTGAAATTTGTCTCTTGCCTTACCACCAACAGGTTCGTCTGGGTCGAAAAATACAGCAGAGGCTCTTTCAGCGTCGAAATTACGAGTACCAATTTGGGCGTTCATCAGAATTGCTCTGTAAGTCAACAGAGTGACGTAATTTGCTCTACTTCACTGGTTTACTTTACAAAGGATACTGTTAGTCGCTGTTTGTTGAGCCAAACCAAGTGAACAATGGGCACTCATTCTGTGGCGTAGCCCACCGAGAGGGCAAAACGTTAACTCGGTTTTCGAGCAAAAATAGTTGGCATGCTAACAATACTCGTCTTCATATGATAAAATAATCGATTATATTTCATTTTAATGCCTTTGAGTACCCACCTTGTATCTGCATTATTACAGGCGAATACTTCGAGACACGGCAATTAACTTCTATCCGCTGTGGCAAGCGCTGTTTGCGAAACTTTGGCCTAATGACCAAGACGTAATGCGCCAACTATTATGAGTAGTATCCCACTCTCAGCTCAGGCTTTCTCTACCTGAAGAGTCTAAACCATGATGAATCCGGTTGTTAGATTAGCATATCTGAAACTCTGCTCAAAGATAGTCGCGTCAGTTTGCATGGTCAGTGATTGCTATTTCTTCATGCAATGGCTCAGATTGGCAACACAGCCTTCCCACATCCACGTAGCTCGAACCGCGGGTCTGAGCGATTTGCACACTGCTTACGAACTGCAGCTCTTCAACTTGGACACTCAGACCTGAGCTGTCCGGCAGTCATGGGTTATTGACACATCGTCTCACTCATCCCGATTCGCCGGCCTGATCGAATCTGACCGCTGCGTGCGGGCTTTTGCCGTGCAAGTTGACCAATCGACCTTGAGCTGTAGCTTAGTTGGCGGCTCTTGCGTTTAAATTCTTACCAGGCGCGCCCAGTGTACTTTACTCTCACTATCATCTTTACCCTTAAGCGTTTAGTATTCGGATGCGACAAAACAAGAACAGCACATTCGGAAGCACTCTTCGCAACAGCTACAGAAGATTGTAGCACATCACATGACAAAGGGCTGTCAGCAACGGTCACATTGCAAACTTAGATGGTAGTGTTTACCCTCATTGGACGACTGAGTAGTGGTGTGGATCCGCATACGAAATGCGAGCTCTGAGCCTTCGGCGAACGACGTGCACGCAATTTAGGTACGAAGAGGATTAAAGCTACTGGCCAAACACTAATCGTTTTGAGGATTACTAAGTGACATTCTTCACCACCGGGTAGCTTCTTTGGACAACAATCATAAATAGAAGCCACTAGTTCAACGAAATAATGCAAGCCTAAAGTAATAGTAAGCTTAAGCTTTACTCTATGAACTATGTGTTGTAAAAACCAGCGTGAATCGATTCGGTGCTTATTTCGCTTGGTAGTCACCCACAAATTTTTTCGCACAACATTAAACATTTTCGATCACACGTATCAACTTTACAAATATGCATTTTACAGACATTACAGGAGGGGGAATAGATGACTATGTCTCTGGTGTGTTACGTGTGCCATACGTCTACACTATTGAACTACCCAGCAAGACGGGGACCGGTGGTTTTATTACGCCAATTTCAGATATCCCATTCGCTGGAGGACATTTGTGGACTGTGTTGAAAACGTGCACGGATAACTTGTAGAGTAGAAGAAAGAAACTATCCCCACAACGAAAACACCGAGTTTCCGCCCCTTTTCTTTGCATGTTCCCCAAGTGTAAACCACTTCTACACAAAACGCATTTAAGCTGAAATCCTGACTTAACACGCCTTACGTTGAACGTATGTTGAAGATGATCATAGCTAACAATGTGATGTGAAGAACGTCTGCCGGTTTCTCAATGTTGTCTATTGATGTGTATCAGAATACATTTAGGAGCACCAAAACATAGCTCTTATCTTTTACGTACATTTTTATTACCGATCGCTTTTGCCCTATCGTACCTGTTTTCCTGCTCCCTATGCTCTGTCTATATTTTCTGACACTCGTCTGCTACACGAATTACCACGCCGACGTTCCCTTCTGTTCACTTCATCGGTCCCCGCTTTCTTCTAATCCCGTGAATATAGTCCGTTGTTCGACATCGCTCACCTTCTGATTCCTGCACTTGATTAAGCGCACCATCTCGGACTAGTGCTTACTTGTTCTATAATGATTCAACACATACAAGTATAAAATGTGCGTCACTTGTGGATGACAACAATGACTTCTGGGTTGCAAATAGTATATTTTGCTCGGGCGGATTTATACAACTGCCGACTAGTACATTTCTCTGTTCGTGTTCACATTGCACCAACTTGAGCCTCCTACTCAATCCCCCAATCACCTACTATCCAGACCAGTTAACACAGTGGTGATTGGACTGACTGAATTACTGGTACGGTCAATCTGCGGCTCACCAAGGGGATGTGAATTACTCTCACTACGGGGCCTGGTGCGAAGTCTTCTGTTAAGCCATGCATTGAATGGCATTAAGGTGAACGATGTCGACATGCACTAGGGCAGCTTTGGTTCCTTGGTTCACCAAGAAGATAGTCAGAAAACCTGATGAACGAAGTATGCCCTGGTTGGAAATGTTACGGGGATACTCATTGGAACTATACTTTTTGTTACAATTCTTACTTGCCTGTTTGCGTTTCGCTACCGTTTGTTTCTTGGCATTTGTTTAAATATATCGACTCTTTGCTTTGGTTGGTCAGCCTATGTCGTTCGTAATGGATGCTATCTCAGAGGCCCATTTCCACTAATACCATTTCTCCGGACTCGTCTGATTAGTTCTTCCTCTTGTTGCTTCTCATTCGCCCGTATTATTCCTTGTTTCCTATGCTGTTGTTTGGCCTCCAGGTACCTACCTGTTCCCTTTGCTTTCGTGGGATTCGAAAGGTCGGAATCGACATTGCAGGCGAATAGGGCATGATAAACTAGTTAGTCTAATTAGGTGCAACCTGTTCATTTTGACATAAATCATAGCTGATGGCTGGCAGCCCTGATCAAAGGCTTCAATCATAACAGTTCAGTGTGATTAGCCCCTATCATGTCTTTCTTGGGATTTGTTTATGGTGGTTTTGAACAAGGACACGTTTGACCTGGGTACGCAAGACTTGAGGTTGAAAGTGTGCATTTTACAGAAAGGCGTGTTTAGGCTAGATGTCTTTTGTACTTGAAGATGAGCATAAAATTCAAAGCTGAATTAAGGGAGCACTCTGTGTGGTTGGGTTGTGACTCGCAACCTCTATTGAGACCTCTGTTCACTTTGAGGTAAACCTCAGTCATTCCGATCTCGAGGACCGTATCCTGAATGGAAAGATTTGGGTCTTGCTCTTCCCAATACTGGCTCACTATGACCGCAGTTTCATCCTGGTTTGGACTCGTCAGGTGGAGATAGCCTGAGCTGGAGTGGGACACAGAGCTTAATAGTTCACGGCTGACACCCTGAAGGCTATGCTACTGAGATCCGCGGGTAACGCTTGGCACAGCGGAAAGTAATTCAAAGCTGAATTTAGGGAGCACTCTGTATGTGTGCGACTATGAAACGTTTGACTGGTTTCGGGTGATTCACGTAGGCCGTGCAAAAGTGGAGCGTAAAAAAGGAAGACGCTTTAAGTTTTTAGGGCTCTATTTGTTGATCTCTGCGGGATGCTTTTGGCTGCAGTATGAACAAGTAAATGGTTTTAAGGCAATAGAAACTTTACCTAATGCGATAATCATTAATTAAATCTAACATGCAGAAATGGCATTTGGGCTGGCCAAGGCACTGATCAAATGCACGCGGCTGGAGCTGGGCAGAAGGAAATTGATGTGGATAGAAGGTCATGCAATCATTGGTGAATGAATAGTCGGTTTTGACAGTGGTGTTGGTGAATACATAATACCATGGGACCCAGGGCACAGACGGACAGCGACTTATGCATTGCAGCGATAGGCGGATAACGTCGTCCGTTGATCACTCCAGGTGGAACTAGGGTTTTGGATTTTGAATACTCATTAGAAGGAATTTTGTTGCAGTACTGCTGAGCGTTCGTCGCAGTAGCTCACATTAAAATTTTCTACACCTTTGTAAACAAAATATTCGTCTTAACAACCCCGAAACTGTGCGTCGTACTTAGCCGCTGTTGAGTCAAGCCGTGATTCTGGGGCTAGCCTTGTCCTTTGCAACTTTTGAGGTCGCATAGTAATGGAGGGTGAGTCGCGCTATGTCCCAGTCATACTGCGAATTATGACCGCTTTTCGCCGTCATCCGTGACCTAGTGGCATGAACCGTTCGCCAGTGGCGTAAGCAGCTAAAGCGGAGATGTCGTAGTTTCGTTCCCCCTAAGGAACAGGGAGAAGGGCACCACGGACTAAGCTCACTGGAATGCACCCGCCATCTGGTGCTTTACCAGGTGTTTTGTTGTTTTTGCTCAGAGACCTCGATGGTTCTGTGTATGGAAGTCTTCAGACGCAGGGCGGTGGTGTCAGGGAAAGCGAACTTATGTTCACTCCGTCTGAGTAGGTCAGTCAGAGGCTGCAAGAGTTGAGCGCAGCGCGGCATGTAGGGTCGATAGTAGTTTACCAAACCACAAAATCGAGTGAGGTGCCTGAACGAAGTAGGAGATGGGAAGTCCTTGATTGCCTGGACCGTATCAGGAAGCACTTCGATACCAGACGATGAAACGAGGGGCCTTAGAATTCTACCGTTGATTCGCCGAGTGCGCACCTAGTCGGGTTGACTGTGACACCGTGTTCAGTCCGGCGCTGGAAGACAGTCCGAAAGTCGCCGACTTGCACTTGTTACCATAAACTGGGTACTAAATTATCAGTGAGGTAGGAATAAGCGAAGTTTAGCCCAACAGTGACATCATGGATGAAGCCTTGGAGGGTTTTTGTGACGTCGCACAGTCCAAATGGCATTCTTAAAATTCCAAACAAGCAGAAAAGAGTGATAACGGCTATTTTATGAATGTTCTTTTCTTCTACAGTTATCTGGTGATAGGCGCGAACCAAATCCATCTTGCTGAAAATCTTCTTACCTGTGAGGCATGCGCTAAGGTCCTGCATGTGTGAGCTGGGATAACTATCAGGGACGATTGGTCGAGTAAGTGCGCGGTAATCACCTCAAGGGCAACAGTCACCATATTTCTTGGAGACCAGCTGCAGGGAAGAGGACCAAGGGCTGTCGGAAGGGCGGATTATTCCAAATTCGAGCATGTGCTCAAACTCCGCCCTAGCTGCCTTAAGTTTCTCGCACGATAGTTGGTGTGGACGGCATGATACGGGTGGGCGATTCGTCCGTATGTGGTGCGTGACTTGGGAAGCCACGGACAAAGTTGCGTTCATTGGCTGAACGAACTTGGGATACTGAGAAAAGAGATTAGCGCAGTCTGGCGAGGTCTGGGGAAATGCATAGACCGGGGATATAGATGTGACATCGGCGGTGATGCCACGTACACTGAGTTTTGTTGCAGCGTCAACCATCATCTGGCGTTTCTCATCGACCAAGAGGTCGAAATACCTGAGAAAGTCAATGCCGATGATTGGAAAGGGGACTGCAGCGACGGTGAATACACAGCGGGATGTGCGTCGAAGACCTAGGTCCAGGGTAAGCGACCGATGACGGTGCGTGGCTATTGGCGTGCCTTTGGCGGCACTTAGGCTTGTCGACAAAGAAGCGGTAGGCTCACATGGCATTGGGCGTATGATATTGGCTTCCGCCCCGGTATCAACTAAGAACTGGGTCTCAGAATCATAATCCCTTATGTAGATGAGACGGCTTTGAGTTTTGCCGACGTCATTCGTAGCCATTACAGGCCGGCGTGGCGGATCATTTGTAGCGGAGTAGCTACATGGCTCTACGCACATACGGGCTTTATTAAAGAAACGCGAATTTTAATAGCACTAATCCAAGACATCAGATGTTGTGCGGCGGGGCGATGGTCCAATGCGGCTGTGGCGCTTACTGTTTAAAGTGAGCTCCTGGATCTGGCGCTGAAGCAACGCTATCTGCGATGATAATGCGTCTATTGCCGACGGCTGGCTAGTTGCGGGTATCGGTGTGGTTGCGCCAGCACAAAGCTGCTTAGGTGCTTTGGTTTCAGTCTCTGGCTGGTGCTGTTCGATGACGCGGTCTGCTAGATCTGCAATTGCTGTGAGTGGCAAATCACTTGCTACTGCAAGGATAGCCGGAGTTCTTTCAGGAACGCGTTGCATCCACAGTTCGCGGAGAATCCCTGCATCCATTTTGGATGTACCAATGAGCTGTTGCGTTTCGCGCAACAAGGCTAAGGGCATTCTATCTCTTAGTTGCAGATCATTAAATAGTTGCTGCAGTCGGACCTTGTCGGAAGGCGTGATTCCTTGAATAATAGCCTGTTTAAGAGTCTCGTATTTCATTACTAGAGGGGGGCAAAATATGCTGTCTCTCACTTGCGAGGAGATAACCTGAGGTAGGCGAGATATCAGCTGATTATACATGGCGAAATCAGAAGAAATCCTACGAATGTAAAAGATGGATTCTAGGTGCAAAACCATAACAAAGGATCATTCTCCCAAAAAGGTGGAGGAGCTAACGCAACTGTATTGACCACGACAGCTCTACGACGCTAATCGCGTATGGAGATAGATTATCCTTAGATAATCCGTTGCATAAAGCGGATAAAAATGTGGT